TTTTTTTTTTTTTTTTTTTTTTTTTTTCATCTTACAGTTCCTTGTACTGCACTACAAACTCCAGAGACTGAAGACGTGAAAAACACAATTGCTTAGCCATTACAGCTTTGGCTTTGCACTTTTGGAAGTCTTTTCAGACGCATTCTATTTATGCATTAGCTCCTCTCTGCCCTCGCATTCTGCATTCTTTAACTGCATGGGAGTTTGCTTCAGTCCCTTCACCAGTGATCACTCAAAACTCCAGGTTTCTCTCTCTCTGTCTCTCTCTCTCTTCTTTACAAATATGCTTATTTTGATACTTAAGTATTAGAGGGAGCTAGAGAATAAGGGTATGCTCTGCTACACAAGTTTATAATTTGAATTTCTGTTTGGTTCCTTCTTGGCTTCATCTCTGAACAAATTCCTCTTTGTATGAGTATTAGTTTGAATTACCAAAAAAAAGGGGGAAAAGCAACATGTATTTATACTGAAAAAAAAAATCAAGTAATTTTCTCTTGTCATAAAGGAGACTATTTTCTTCACAATTTGTCAGTGTAACTTCGCTTTCTTTCTTTTGATTTTATGTTTTTTTTTTTTTAAAAAAAATCTTCTCTATAGTACTTTATTACAGCTAGCAATTGTTATTTTTCTCTTCTTTTTGCTTCAATATAGACAGCAAGAAAAAAACAAATGAAGTTATTTATAACATTCTCCAATTTCACAGGGAGTGCAGCAAGATGGAAGATGGGCCTTGGACTTTGCTTACAGGTGATTAAATCTAACCTTCCTGTTTTTTTCAAGTTTTAATTATATTACATTACTTATACATTTACCCTTTATATTGATTCTCTAAATACCCATTTTTCTCTTCTTTGAAAATGTTTTTTTGAGGTATAGACATGTTATTCAAAATTTTGAAAAATTGGATTATTCTTTTGAAAATGATCGTATGCAAGCATCGAACCCCGCATAGCATTATTGGACAACTTAAGCAACCTGATGATCCAACAAGGCTCTGCTTAACAGTCTCTTACATGGCTCATTTCCCATGTTTTGACCCACCCAAGTTTGATAGCCCAAAAATAGAGGAGAACCCATCTACGCGCGCCTATTGGTGCTCTTGCGAAACCCTAAGTCGGTATTGTCTAAGATCTGTTCTTGTGGTCGAAGGGTAGCAAGCAATTAGGCCTACAAGTATCCTTAATAATAGTTCAAACATTTATATAAGTTTATTTCTATCAACCTTCAACCAAGAAGTCAGAGATTCGAATCTCTCACTCAATATCTAGTTGAATTAAACAAAAATAAATATTCTTTTAATATAATAAATATATAATATAGAGATCGAACCTCGAGAATAAGACCCGACACAAAAATAAAAAGAACATAGTTTCAAATTAGATAGGAGTGAGAAATATCTAGTCTTATCATAGCACTAAAGTCTTTCAAACCATTTGTTTCAAAAAGAAAAAGAAAAACAAAAGTCTTTCCACCATTATTTTTTCGGATTTATTTTTTTAATCGGTAAACGCCTTTATACATTATTAGAGGTCCTTTTTTTTTTTTTTTTTTTTTTTTTTTTTTTTTTTTTTTTTTTTTTTTTTTTTTTTTTT